CTGCAGCTGTTTCGTGTCTTACATTCCCTTTGGTCTCCGTCTGTATTCCAAATATTACCTGGAGAGATTAAAGCTGCAATGACCATGAGTGATGTTGAGAAATTCAGTCTTCTTGGTGAAGGAAACCCTAAATTGCTAAAGGGTACCATAGCCTTCGCCAATGGATCCCATATCAGCACAAGTAAGGAAGGATATGTGGAGTCAAATGAATCAGACATACGAAATTGGTTGAAAGGTATCAGAGACAGTGGGTATGTATTCCTATATTTGAGTTGGTTTGAAACTTTTTCTTTGAAATGCATCTTTTTTGTAGGTTTCTTTCGTTTAATGATTAAGATATTTTTTATATTTGTAGGTACAATGTATTGGGCCTGGCAACCACTATTGGGGACTCATTTTACAAATGTCTGGATAGTCAATCTGTTGCTCTAGCTCTAGTGGAGAATATACATTCAATGGAATTCAGGCATATCCGGCTGCTTGTTCATTCAGTTTTGATTCCTTTGGTTAAATTTTGTCCTGTGGATTTGTGGGAGGCATGGTTGGAAAAGCTCTTGCCCCCATTATTTCAACACTCCCAACAGGCTCTCAGTTGCTCATGGTCCGGTCTTCTACATGAAGGGAGAGCAAAGGTCCCAGATGCCCATGCCATACTAGCTGGGTCGGACTTAAAAGTGGAAGTAATGGAAGAAAAGCTACTTAGGGATCTAACACGGGAGATTTGTTCACTCCTCTCTGTTATAGCTTCGCCGCAGCTAAATACTGGGCTTCCTTCCTTGGAGCACTCTGGGCATGTTCATCGTGTTGACGTATCTTCCCTCAAAGAATTGGATGCATTCGCATCAAGCTCCATGGTTGGGTATGTTTGATTGACATAGTTTCTTATCTAGGTTTCTTAAGTTCTTTTCTGTTAATCTGTACTGTAGTAGTTGTATAACTTTGTGAATTTTATTTTTTCCCTAAGTTCTCTGGTCTCATAGTGTTCTTCGTTTACAGTTTCCTTTTGAAGCACAAAGGCCTTGCCCTTCCAGCGCTGCAGATATGTTTAGAAGCTTTTACATGGACAGATGGTGAAGCCATGACAAAAGTTTCTGCCTTCTGTTCTTCTTTGATTGGTTTAGCGGTATCGACAAATAGTGTGGAGCTCCTACAATTTGTTTCTAAGGATCTATTTTCTGCAATTATCCAAGGTTTAGCCCTTGAGTCAAATGCTTTCATCAGTGCCGATTTGATTGGTCACTGTCGTGATATATACATACATCTTTGCGATAGAGATCCTACTCCTAGGCAGGTTAGTTACGATACCTTGTGCTATCTAATATTTTGGGTTATGCTGGTAGTGATTATACTCTAATTACTGATTACCATAAGAAACTTAATTGTCGTTCTTATTGGGTTGCCCAGATTCTGCTCTCGCTCCCATGTATCAAACAACATGATTTGCTTGCGTTTGAAGAAGCTTTGACGAAGACATCCAGTCCCAAAGAACAAAAGCAACATATGAAAAGCTTGCTTGTCTTAGCTACTGGAAACAAGTTAAAGGCGCTCGCTGTTCAGAAAAGCGTCAATGTCATAACGAATGTATCAAGTAAGCCCGCTTAACTGACTTCACCATCATCTCATGCGTTCTGTTTCTTTTCCCAGATTTTCTGCATTTCATATTTAGGTTGAGGTTCAACTTGATCTTTTGCTTTCCTATTCGAAGATAAATTTTCATTCAAAAAACTTTATAATTATGCAATAGCTAGTCAACCGGGTATATTTTTACCAACCTGCTGCAATCATAATTTCAGCGAGGCCTCGCAGCACGGCCAACACCAAAGAAACCAGAGCGGACGATGGAGAGACTGTTGGGCTGGCAGCCATATTGTGATGCATGTGTGATGTGTGGTACAGAAATCAAATCAACTCGAAGGAAAACGCGATGTTTGGAATATGACGAGGTACGAGAGCTGTTTCTTTTTTTTTCAGCCAGAGGTCTACGGAACTTTGTCCGCTCCCGGAAGCTACCTCGAATACGAGATTGATCGTTTAGAAGTGTTCCATGACACTGTTATGTTGTATTGTATTGCCATGGAAATTAGGATTTCAAAACTGAAACTTCATTGTATAGCACTAATCAGAAAACGGAAAGAGAAAAAAAGGTTCGGCAGGTTGGAACTTAAACCACACTCGGCAGTTGCCATTTAACATTGGCTTGTTTGGAGCTCAAACCAAAACTTTCATGTGCATATCATGAATGTTGTTTCCTACCTTGAAACCCCTACCAATCATTGTTCACATGCGAAAATGTCACAAAAATAATTTTGTGATTAAAAACCACGAATGTTGGTCCACATTTTTATTGCGGAAAAGTGTGATTTTTGTGATTTCGCGAAATTTTTTCTGTAGGCATTAAGAAATATGTTAAAAACTATTTTGAAAGCAGTTTTGCATTTTATTGATATGTAGAAGTATATATTTTTTTCTTTTTATAATTAAATATTTAAGGGGGGAAATTGTAAAATTAAAAAAAAAACGACTTTTTAAAACATTTGCAAAACTGATAGAAATTGTGAAAAATTTCTTCAATACTACGTAGAATTGAATGATACGAAAATAAATAATTGGATTAAAAATAAATAAATAAATGATTGAGATTGATAATAGAATATCTAAACAGATGATTGAGATTAAAAAAATTTAAAAGAAAAACATAAATAAAAAAAGTCTAAACAGTTGTGAGGTATATTTTCGTGTCATTTTCAGAGTGTTGCAAATTTCTTATAATTCAAGTAAAAACGTGTTTGGTATAATGGGGGTATAAGACAGAGATAATCTTCATTATATATTATATATTATATACTTCTACTCTCTTCCATTCTCTTCTATTCCATTCTCTTCTATGCCTTATTTTATTTGTTTTTGCTTGTTTGCAAGTCATCACTGTCATTTGGTAGGGACGTATATATGAAGAAAATTTTAATTGGGACGGGAATACAAGTGGTACATCACGTGTTTTAATAGAAGTGGTGAGATTTTATTTTTTAAGTTATTAACTTTTTAGCACACATATCTCATTATTTGTATAGTAACACGTGGTGTACCACTCCGTGTACTGGTCACACTGAAAAATCTCTCAGTATGTATGTAGTTTGTATATACGTCGTTGTTATGTTGTATTGTATTGCCATGGAAATTAGGATTTCAAAACTGAAATTTCATTGTATAGCACTAATCAGAAAACGGAAAGAGAAAAAAGGTTCGGCAGATTAGAACATAAACCACACTTGGCAGTTGCCGTTTAACATTGGCTTGTTTGGAGCTCAAACCAAAACTTTCATGTGCATATCATCAATGTTGTTTCCTACCTTGAAACCCCTGCCAATCATTGTTCACATGCGAAAATGTCACAACAATAATTTTGTGATTGAAAACCACGATTGTTAGTCCACATTTTTATTGCGGAAAAGTGCGATTTTTGTGATTTCGCGAAATTTTTTCTGTAGGCATTAAGAAATATGTTAAAAACTATTTTGAAAGCAGTTTTGCATTTTATTGATATGTAGAAGTATTTTTTTTCTTTTTATAATTAAATATTTAAGGGGGGAAATTGGAAAAAAAAAAAACGACAAAGAGATGGGTTATATGATAGTTTTTTAAACATTTGCAAAACTGATAGAAATTATGAAAAATTTCTTCAATACCATGTAGAATTGAATGGTACGAAAATAAATAATTGGATTAAAAAAAAGATCTAAATAAATGATTGAGATTGATCATTGATAATAGAATATCTAAACATGATTGAGATTAATTTTTTTTTTTAAATATAAATAAAAAAAGTCAAAACAGTTGTGAGGTATATTTTCGTGTCATTTTATAGAGTGTTGCAAATTTCTTATAATTCAAGTAAAAACGTGTTTGGTCTGATAGGGTAAAAGACAGAGATAATCTAGTTTCCAAAAACAGAAAAAGAAAAAAGACAGAGATAATCTTCATTATATATTATATACTTCTTCTCTCTTCCATTCTCTTCCCTTCTCTTCTATTCCTTATTTTGTTTGTTTCTCCTTGTTTGCAAGTCATCACTGTCATTTGGTAGCTACGTATATATGGAGAAATTTCTAATTGTAACGGAAACATAAGTGGTACACCACATATTTTAATAGAAATGATGGGAAATTTTATTTTTTAAGTTATTAACTTTTTAGCACACATATCTCATCATTTGTATAGTAACATATAGTGTACTATTCTATGTACCAATCACACTGAAAAATATAGTTTGTATATTGTGTAAAATTCCACCGTTAGACCTAACACAATGTCATGCCAACGACTCTTTGACAAAGGTGGCACGCGTTCGTTAGTTCGGGCCGTTAGCCCTAACCCTAAACCCTAAGCTTGCACCATCCAGTCGGTCGTCCTTCACCATTGTGATAAAGTTACACTAATTCCTAGCCCTCGTTTCAGAAATTATATTATGCTCTTGTGTGTGACATATAACGAATGAATAAAGTGTTGAATGTGCAACTAATGATACAATAATTTAAGAATTATGACCAAAATTCTATATATATTATACTAAACACCAGTGTATACTGAAAAATCTATGTTATTCAATCTCTCAACAGGAAAATTGAAAAGTTTGAATGGGAATCATATCATCATTTGACATATGAACGTACAACTTAGTTGTGTATGTTATATTGTAATTTACAATAGTACATATTAAAAAATCTCCGTTCTTCGATCTCAACAGGAAAATACAGAAGTATGAATGGGAATCGTGTCATTTGATATATGAACCTGCAGTTTTAGTTGGTAGGTGGGAAGATGGCAGGTGAAAGGTGTTGGATGAAAAGAATGGGAATTTGTGTCATTTGATATATGAACGTGCAGTTTTAGTTGTGAATGGTAGGTGGGAAGAATGGCAGGTGAAAAGTGTTGGAAGAAAAAAGAATTAAGTACAAAGTTTAAAACTGGATATATATATACAGTTAAGCGGTTGCTTCTGGTTTAGTCTAGTTAATTCTATCTTCCTATAAACCCAGGTATCATCAACCTTTAAAACTTGTACAAGTTGTTCCCTGCACTGCACTGCCATTCCCTAAACCTTATTCTCTGCAGGCTTCGTTTTGTTGAAGGTGGTGGTACGTATAGGCTAAGAGTGAGTACGTAGCTTAGCTACCAATGGGACCTGGTGGACCTCCACCTCCTCCAGGACCTCCCGGACCTCCCGGACCGCCAGGTTTCGGCGGCCCTCCTGGTCCGCCTCCTCTCTGCTGTGGCCTTTGTGATTGTATTGGTTCATGGTACGTATATATGTATGTAAATCTACATCTTTTGATTTGTTTTTGTTACCAATTTGTAAATTTTGTGATATTATTTTTGTACGTAAATCTACATCTTAACTCGTTTCTCTCCCTCTCACTCAAGCCATGCGCATGCCATATACGAAAATGTGAAATAAAATGTTCTAAAATGTTGAAGAAATGACCATTTTGTTTATGGGAGTTTTGCAGTTTGAGTTTTCTGTGCTGCTGCTGGTTATTGCAAGACTGCTTTGGTGGGCCACCAGGGCCTCCTGGACCGCCGCCACCTCCATGAGATCATCAAGCAGGCTTGAGTTTCCAGAAATCAGTTGTATCGCATATATTTGTAGCAATTTATGTACAATAAATTTGGATTAGAAAGAGACTTGTAATTACGAGTCCTGTTGTGCTAAACTCCATAGTCCATATAAGTTGTGATCATTCATTGTTCGGTTTAATTTAATGTTGGAGGATTAAATGACCACGTACCATTTGATTGAGATCGAATGGTAAGTGACCACCATTTCTTTGGATCCTCGGGTCTAGAATAAGTCTGTAATTCCAGTCATCACTGAATTATAATTATCTATTTATTTTTGTTTCATTTTAGCAAGAAATCAAATCGAATATAAAATTTAAACTATCGAATCAAAATACTCGATCCATCTAAACAGTTGTGAGTTATATTTTCGTGTCATTTTCACAGTGCTGTAAAGGTCTTTCAATTCAAGAAAAACGTTTTGGTATAAATGGGGTAAAAGCCAGAGAAATTAATCTCAATTCTTCTCTACTCTTCTAAATCTTATTTTATTTCTTTCTCCTTGTTTGCGAGTCATTACTGTCATTTGGTACCGACATATGTTGTTTGTGTAACATTACACCGTTATACGTAAAACAGTGTCCTGCCAACGACTCTTTATAAAAAGTGGCATGCGGCGTTAGTTTGGGCCACCAATACATATGAGTCTTATCTTTGTTAGAAATGTGATACGTATGAAAATTGTGATAAAAGTAGCTTTTTGAAAATCCTAAACATGCACTGCGCACGCTGGTGGTCCTTCACCATTGTGATAAAGTTACACTAATTCATATCCCTCGTCCAAACTTTTACTATGCTTTCGTGTATGGTATACAACAAATGAATAAAGCGTTTGATGGGATGGGACCAATGATACAATAATTAATTCAAGAGTTAACAACCAAAATTTTATGTATAATATTATACACCAGTGCATACTGAAAAATCTCAGTTGTTCAATCTCAACAAGAAAATGCAAAAGTTTGAATGGAAATCATATCATGAATTGATATATATATATATATATATATATATTCAAGAGTTAACAACCAAAATTCTATGTATAATATTATATACCAGTGCATACTGAAAAATCTCAGTTGTTCAATCTCAACAAAAAAATGCAAAAGTTTGAATGGAAATCATATCATGAATTGATATATATATATATATGTATATATATATATGGAATTGCTTAAGGGGAGGGATCCCCATTTTTTCAAAAAAATGGGGACACGCTCCCCACCGTTGGATTTGAATTAAATGAAATCCTGTGGTTGAGATTCTATGGCCTGTGTTTTAATCTCAACCACACAATTTCATTAAAGTCAATCTAACGGTGGAGAGCGTGTCCCCATTTTTTTTGAAAAAATGGGGATCCCTCCCCTTAAGCTCCCTGATATATATATATATATATATATATATATATATATATATATATATATATTTACAAACGTACACTTTTAATTGTATATACTATACTATACACTAGACCTGGCATTCGTGTCGTATTTTTCGTGTTTGTGTCGTTCTCGTGTCATACCCGATATCTTAACGGGTCGTGTCGTGTAACACCTGTTAAAATAAACGGATAAAATGACCCGACCCGAATTGACCCGATAATATTAACAAGTAATATGACCCGACATGTTACCCGTTAAGGAAAATATATTTTAAACCAATAAATAATCAAATGAAAAACATAATACTAAATAAGTATATACATACCATATTGTCACATCCAAAAAATAAAAACGTATTTGAGTAAAGTCTTTAATAGTTTTTAAATTAATGTAGAATTGTAAAAAATATATATATAAACACTCGTAATGACAAGCTTTATAACTTTCACGACGAGCTTAACTTCGAAATTCGCCACTATAATCATATAAATCATACATCAAAATTTAACCGTTGATTGTTGTTTACATTTACGCTTCATTGTTCTCATCAAATTTTTTTTTTCTTTTCAGATTTTATTTTTTGAAAACATGATCTATTAGAGGATGCAGGAAGATGAATGGTTTGGATCATTGATATTATATTCAAAGTTTTACGGTTAGTGAAAATATTGCTTGATGTTTATAAAGTTTCTACAAACTATACGACATCGACTCACATTTCAGTTAATCATAAATATCGAAATTTGATATCAAGGATCTGAACCGTTCATCTTCTTACATCCGCCAGATGATGATGTTTTCAAAAAAGAAAATTTTTAAAATGAAATTTAGTAAGAAGACTAAAACGTAAATGACAATCGACGTTTAAATATAAAATTAAGGTTTATGGATTATAGTGTTGGATTTCGAAGCTGACCCCTTCATGAAAGTTGTAAGGCTTATCACTATGAGTGATTGTATTTTTTTTTTTTTTTACAATTATTACAGTTCTACAATAATTAATTTTGCCCTCAAATAAAAAATATTATTCATGAGGGTTTGGAGGATTTTAAAAATCTAAACGATAATGTAAGTGTAACCATTATCTACTCGTAAAGGAATACTAATGAATGACGAGTGTTTATATATTCTTTCATATTTTTCATACTTGTATGTATGTCTTCTTAGTTCTTGCCTATACAATACTATACTAGTTTATTTTAATTTTGGACAACAATATGTTAAGTAAAATTTATCCTATTAATGATAATAAGAAACTCTCATAATAAAAATAAATAATGATTAAAACTTTTTTTTTAACTTATATAGAATAATAATACAAAATTATATATTTAATATATAATATATTGTATACATTAATATGGCTATTGTATTTTTGTTTGGACCTAATTTTACAATATCGGCCCGGGCAATCAAGACCGTTAAATAAGTGGTTTCTAAACCGTTGGATTTCATATTTTTCTAGATATTACTATTGAATTTTCGAAGTAATTATCTTATGAAATTGTTTGGACCTAAATTTACATCATCGGCTCGTGCGATCGAGGCCGTTGAATGAGCATAACTCCCAATCATCGGATGAAAAATGAAGATAATTTTGTTATTATTGAAAGAAGATGCAAAGCATATTTCCGAGCGAGCAGTACAATTCAAATGGACTTAGGACTCATATTATCAGATTAAGCAGCATGGTGCATTAGGATGAGGTTTGAATAGTCAGGATGCATGGTTTTAGGATAAAGTTGAAGTCAAGATAATGATGCAAATTGGAGCAGATAATGGTGCATGGGAATTTGGATGACAGTGATCCACGGCATTTAAATATTATAACCAATCTGTGGGTTAGATTGGTGTTCTGCAAAGATGAAAGGAGCACGGCATTGACCCAAGGCATCTTGACTTTGAGGGATATTATCAAGAAGGTTCTTTATTACAATATCCTAACGCTGAGAGTTAGAATGAAACTGGAATACTGGCTGAGCATTACAAAATCTATAGAGGCAGCGGCAACGATCAGAGAGGACCTTCAACTCAACACACAAACTGTCTTGCGCAAACCCTCTCAACAATCTTGAGATTTTTATTTTTCCTTTTTCGCCAACACATCTTCAGTTTGGATAAACAGTACTATGAAGGCAACCAGCGAACATCTTCAGTTTGGATAAACAGCATTGTTGCCGTAGAATCAGCCAACCGTGAGGCACCTTCAGTTTGGATAAATAGCACTGCAACAGGTCCGATTGGTTATCTATCCAAGTTTCAGTCGAGAAGGATTCTCAAATCCTCATTGGCAGATGTCATCTCATTAGCCTACTCGGCAAAGTGAGGTGTTACAAGTTACTACATTCGGCACATTGAAAGCTGAATTTGATATTGAACTTAGCAGAATTAGCAACCTTGTCTTCAGGTTCTAGAACCTGAAGGCTGAGACGTATACCTTCCTCGGCCGCAGTCGCAAGATTCAGAAGTTAGCAACGCACCCAACGCAACATCAACATATTTTACTCCTCAGCCGAGCTAGGTCGACGAATTGGCACGCCCGCATACAACCAAAGGACGTAGTTAGCTTACTAATTACTCGGTCTGCGTGCTACTAGGCTTAATAGTTTTTAGGGTCAACAATTTTATAATAAACCTTTTAGTAATTAAACTTTAAAATTATCAAAATAATTTTTTTCTTAATGGGTCGAAACGGGTTACCCACGTGTATACATGTTAAGAACCTGTTATTAAAGGGTTCATAACGGGTCACCCGATAATGACCCGATTAGTTATCGTGTTGATCCGAAACTTGTTATTTTCGTGTCGTGTTAGAAACTGCCGGATCTACTATACACTGGTAAATACCAAAAAAAATCCGATCTCAATAGGAAAATACAAAAGTATGAATGGAAATCGTGTCATTTGATACATGAACCTGCAGTTTTAGTTGTGAATGGTAGGTGGGAAGAATGGCAGGAGAAAAATGTTGGATGAAAAAAGAAAAAGTTTAAAACTGGACTGGAGGATATGGTCAAACACAATATATACAGTAGTTGCTTCTCGTATAGTCTAGTTAATTCTATCTTCCTATAAACCCTAGCTATCATCAACCTTAAGAACTTGTACAAGTTGTTCCCTGCACTGCACTGCCATGCATAAAACCTTATTCTCTGCAGGCTTCGTTTTGTTGAAGAAGGTGGTCGTACGTATAGGCCTAGTGAGTACGTAGCTTAGCTACCAATGAGACCTGGTGGAGGTCCCGGAGGACCTCCTGGACCGCCTCCCGGACCGCCTGGTTTCGGAGGACCTCCCGGACCGCCTGGTTTCGGAGGACCTCCCGGACCGCCTGGTCCGCATCCTCTCTTCGGTGGCTTTTGTGATTTCATTGGTGCATGGTACGTATATATGTATGTAAATCTACATCTTAACTCGTCTCATTCCCTCTCTCTAAATGACCATTTTGTTTATGGGAGTTTTGCAGTGTGAGTTTTCTGTGTTGCTGCTGGTTATTGCAAGACTGCTTTGGTGGGCCACCACTAGGGCCTCCAGCACCCTTTGGGCCACCTGCACCAGGGCCTCCCGCACCCTTTGGCCCACCTGCACCAGGGCCTCCTGCTCCCTTTGGCCCACCTGGCCCCCCCGGTCCAGCTGGCCCGCCTGGACCACCACCTCCATGAGATCATCAAGCAGGCTTGAGTTTCCAGAAATCTGTTGTGTTGCATACGCAGCATATACAGTAGTAGCAGGAACGTGTACAATATCTTTGAATTAGAAATAGAGTTGTAATTCCGACTAAATTCCGAGTCCAAATAATTGATGATCATTTACTGTTTGAGTTTAATTTAATATTGAAGAAGAAAGTACAGTAAAAAAAATTAAATGATCAGCTACCGTTAAATTGAGATCGAACCATAGGCGACCACCTTTTTTCTGGGGTCAAGAAGAACAAGTCTGTGTAATTCCAGTCATTACTGAGTTGTAATCCTGAGACAGTACTGAGTTTTAAATTTATTTAAATTTATAATTTGCTATTTACTTTTGTTTCATTTTTGCATGAAATAAACTCGTACATATAAAATGTGTAAGTGTTTGAAAACGTAGCACTAAGACTCAAACGTGACAAAGAAAATATATCAAACGATAATCTTAATACATAAGAAATGAAAGCCACATAGAGAATACGAAAAAACGTCAAAGTCTAATGAATAATATGAATATATCAAACCTCAGCTCCCTAGGATACTTATAATACCATTTACACCAGAGTTTTGAGGAATACAAATATGAAACGAGGTATGAAAATAACAAAATATCATAAAATTTTCAAGTGCTAATAAAACATAGTAATCGAAAGAATTTGACCAAAAAAGCCCATATTCACAACAACGCAATAGGTTGAACTCACGACACCATTCTCTTCAAAACAACGGATCATGCGCCCAAATTGGACATCGGAGCTCAAATTTGCATGCTTAGATTTTGCTACTAGATTTTTGCCTTTCATGTTTGATTTTCGATCCACTCCGTCATCAAATTTACATCACACTTATCCAACCACGATTGTTTGTTTTGTTTCCTTATTTTCACGTCAGATTCACCATGTTTCTTCCCTTTTGAATTAAGCATATTTTTCAACCTGAAAAGAAGGAAAGCCTTATCCAAACAGATGTTAATCATTTTATATTACATATTTTAAACTACTATTTGAACGCTAGGAATTAAAATGATTCGATCTCGATCCTTATAGATCCACAAAAGCAGCAAAACAGTGTAAATCCTAGAGAATGCCATCAATGTAAAAGCATAAAGATGAGTTCTACATAACAGAACATATAGACATTATGACAGCAGAATAATATTCAATCCACCTCAAACAGTGAAATATAGGGGCGTGATATCCACACACCTCATTTTACTTCTCACACATTTTTTTAATTTTCGACCGTCGGATCGGATGAATTGAAGAAGATCAACGGACATAAATTAACAAAGAGTGTGTAAGAAGTAATTTAGGATGTGTGGATAGCACACACCTGAAATATAATGCATACGCTATGTACATAGATTAATACTATTTATTAAGTCTAAATCGCGTACCCTATTGATCTTTTGTTTTCTTTCAAATATGTGTCATGCTTAATTAACGACGGTGTGCTTATCGTAACACCACCAACTGAAAAAACTTACCAACTAGCTTTTTACCTAGTGTTACTTTTTCTTAAAAACTACAACAATATATAAAAATAAAAATAAAAAGTTTTTGTCACAAATGATTCCTGAAATTGACTCATCTCATCAAGGTAGTCTCTAAAATTGAAAATCAATCAATGTAGTTCCTGAAAATGAGTGTCGCAAATCAATGTGATCATTCCTTCATAATTCAGTTAAAAATTATGTTAAGTGCTGACGTGGCACTTAAATGGGTCTCACAAATTTAATAAAATATTATTTTGTTAATTAAAAATATTTAAATATAAAAAATAAAAAAAATATTTAAATAATAATAAAAAAAGAAGATAATTGAACACTGTTCATCATCTTCTTCCCGTGAGAATAAATTTTTTTAAAGTTTTTATGTTTTAAATTCTTGACATTTCTTGTTGTTAATTTCTTGAAATTTCCTCGTTTTTAGCTTGATTTAGTGTTTTTCATCTGGGTTCTTAACATTTTCTGAGATTATTGGTTCCGTTCCGGCAGATTTTTGAGTTAGATTTTTTGTGAGGAAAATGGAATTTAGGTGAAGAAAATGGGTTAGATTTCTAGGTTCTTGAAAATTTCCTGAGATTCTTGAACTTTGTCCATGAGATTGTTCCGGTCCCCGTTTGTATGATGATGAAACCGACTAGGAGGCCGTCGAAGGTTCGCCACACGAAGGTGGAGGAACAGGGTGGGAAAATCCAATGGCCACCATGTGTGCGCCAAAGATCTTTCAACTGACCCGGGAACCCGACCACAGTTCTGACGGAGGCACTCTACCCAGAGAGTGGGAATGGGGGTGTAGGGTGGGGGCTGTAGTGGGAGGTTGGGAGGGGAAGAAGATGATGAACAGTGTTCAATCATCTCCTTATTCTTATTTTTTATGTTTCAAGTTTTTAATTATAAAAACTAAAAATTGTTTTTTAATATTTAAATCTTTTTATTTCACAAAATAATATTTTAATAAATTTGTGAGATCCATTTAAATGTCATGTCAGCACTTAACATAATTTTTAACCGAAATATGACGAAATGACCACATTAATTTGCCACACTCATTTTCAGGGACTACATTGATTAATTTTCAATTTCAATGACCAACTTGATAGAATTGGTCAATTTCAATAATCATTTGTGATAAAAACTACAACAATATATTAAAAAAACTTACCAACTAGCTTTTTTCTTAGTGTTACTTTTTCTCAAAAACTACAATAATATAAAAAAAATAAATGGTCTGTTCACGTACAAGACATCTGTGTTAAGGGCACTTCCAGGGGTGTGCTTTCCCCCGAGGGACAGGCCCGCGAACAGTGGTAGAGAGCCCGAGCAACCAAGCCTAACTTGTGCTGGCGATGGAGCCCGAGGGAGAGGCCCAGCAAGCGTTGCCAGCCCGAAGGCAACTTGACGTGGGCTGACGTCAGTCACAATATTTAATTAATAAAAATATAAAATATTAATAAAAAAAGTAAAATTAAAAAAAATTGTAAAACCCAGGCTTCGAACCCAACGGCTCTCGCTGGAGTTTGTCGCCGAGGTTGATGAACACCCACAGACAAATGGCAGAGATCTAGTCCTTCCTCCGCCGCAGCTGCCGCCGCACTCCACACCGCCTTCGCCCCCACGCACTCGCGATCTTCCTCCTTCCATTGGCGCGCCAAGATCGCACGATTTGGGATTTGTTTTTGGGGGAAAGAGGAGAGAGAGAGAGAGAGTTTGGTTAGGGAGCGGGGATGATCGGGACCATTGATGGAGGCTGAGGTGGGTGGGATGGTGAAGATGGAGGAAGAGAGGCGAGGAGGGTTTGGGTGCGTTGGGGGGAGGGGGAGGGGGACACGGGTTAAAAGTCTGGGTGCTGGTTGAAAAAGAAAGCTGTTGAGTTTGAAAAAGAAAGAAAAAAAAAACAGAGCTTGGTGAGTTGGCACCATGTGAAAAGAAGAAGAAAAATAATAATAATAATAAAAATTTTGGAATGGTGCATCGGCACCATGTGAAAATAACAAAGGTTTTGCACCATGTGAAAAGAAAAAATTAAAAATAATAAAAATAAAATTTTTAATAGAAAGTGATACAACGAAACCGATTAAAAATCTTATCTGAAATTACAAATAAAATTATTTTGAATTATTTAAAAAAAATAATAATAATATTTTATTGTCTATTATTAGGGCTATTTAAGTGCAACGGTAGAGATACAAAAAGCAATTACTGTTTATTAAGGACAAATACTGTTCATTAGGTGGATTAAATAGCAAATAGTCTGGGGAGAGTTTCCCACTGTGGAAGTGCTCTAAGAAGTTGAAAAATATATACATAAACGAAAAAAAAAAAAAATTGTTGTGTGAACTTTTTGAATATTGAAATAGCTAGCTATGATGCCACGATAAACCTTCTGTTTATCTTGTCGGTCACAAAAGGGAAGGTTTGAATGTTAGGTTTATGCATGAACGTTAGGTTTGTTACTTCCCCGTGAAGTAGATGAAACAACAGGAACCACCAAATTAAAGAAGAAAGCGAGATAGAAAAGGATATTGAATGCCATACTTGGCCGCTAAGCTCTCTCTCTCTCTCTCTCTCTGTAAAAGTGTCACTTAATTAACAACAAACATCTAGATATACAAGAGTTTTATGTATATATAGCTGATCAACTTCAATAGCTACGTTGCAATTTCAGCAAGGAAGGAAGCTGAAGAAATATCCATAGGTCTTTTTTGATCAAGAGAGAGAGAGAGAGAGATCAGATCATCATCTCCATCAGAGAGGAATGCCACCACCATGGGGACCGCCGGGAGGAGGAGGTCCGGGAGGGTTTGGTTGCTTAGGTGACCTCTGCAGCGGTATATGCAGCTTTATCTCATCTTGGTGAGTTTAGCAAAATGCAGAAATTGTTCATTTACGACTACAGTATGTCTGTCTGCTGCTCAGGACCTAAGTATTATCCGTAATATAGCTGCTTATATTATTGTTTTTTAAGTTTTTTCTAACTAATATCATCTTGGCGTGTATTACTACTGCAGTGCTTATATCTTGTGCTGCTGCTGCTTGTTTGAGAGCTGCTGTGGACCAGTGTTCGGCGGCGGCCCTGGCGGACCAGGTGGCCCTGGCGGTGGCCCCCCTCGTTGGTGAACATTATCCACTCGCTACGTTCCAGGCTTGTCGATCAAGATGTTCTTGTAGCTTTTATCTGTAATTTTTCTCTGTTGAGTTTGAATAAATGTTATGTAATAAACAAGTGAGAGAGAGATGTTGCAAATGCTGTGTGTGTTGCAACTTGCTCCTCAGTACTCGGTATTCTCCCTTTGAATTGTAGTCAATTTTTGTGTTTAATTTCATCAATTTGCAAATTTCCTTCATGTTTCTTACACTTTTGGGCAGAGATAATTGCTCTTGTGCTGCTGCTGCAGCATCATTTCGACCTTCTATTAGGGTTGGTTTTGGTATTGTTGTGCTTTGGAAAAATTTGCTTGTGCTGTGCAGTGATAATAAGTTCATTTTTGCTGCTTCACATTTTCAGCTTTTTTTTCACCTAAAACTATGAAAATAAGTTGTTTTTAAATGTTTACCAAACATATTTTTAAGCTCAGTTTTTTTTTATGCTCACTTTTTATAAAAGCACCTCAGTATCAAATCAGTATTAACTATACTAAAACAAATAGATGAACACAAGATTTCCCATGAACAATGAAAGTTTTCACAATAACAGATCCAATTTGGTTAATCTTTTGAGGTGATCTTAATTTGGTGACAATGTCGGGTCGAGATAAGTGGCTAGCGCCATATTTAACGTAATAACTAGACAACGCCTTAAATAATGTTCTTGCAACTTCATACTTGTACTTTTTTCCGATGAGTTTGTTTTTACGACTAAAGTTTGTATTAGAGTGGATTAAATTACATTAAAAACGACGTAAATTTACCCTTAAGCACAATATTAATGAAGAGTCATTTGACATTTCTCACTGTTAGCTTAACAATATCATGGCTCTTAGTACTGATTTGGTACTGAAGTACTTTTATGAAAACAACAACAACAACAACAAAGCCTTTTCCCACTAAGTGGGGTCGGGTATATGAATCCTAGAACGCCATTGCGCTCGGTTTTGTGTCATGTCCTCCGTTAGATCCAAGTACTCTAAGTCTTTTCTTAGAGTCTCTTCCAAAGTTTTCCTAGGTCTTCATCTACCCCTTCGGCCCTGAACCTCTGTCCCGTAGTCACATCTTCAAACCGGAGCGTCAGTAGGCCTTCTTTGCACATGTCCAAATCACCGGAACCGATTTTCTCTCATCTTTCCTTCAATTTTGGCTACTCCTACTTTACCTCGGATATCCTCATTCTCAATCTTATCCTTTCTCATGTGCCCACACATCCCACGAAGCATCCTCATCTCCGCCACACCCATTTTGTGTACGTGTTGATGCTTCACCGCCCAACATTCTGTGCCATACAACATCGCTGGCCTTATTGCCGTCCTATAAAATTTTCCCTTGAGCTTCAGTGGCCTACGACGGTCACACAACACGCCGGATGCACTCTTACACTTCATCCATCCAGCTTGTATTCTATGGTTGAGATCTCCATCTAATTCTCCGTTCTCTTGCACGATAGATCCTAGGTAGCGAAAACGGTCACTTTTTGTGATCTTCGCTAGATTGCTCCGGTCATTAGTGTGGATAAGTATATAAATGGATAGAGATAGGAAAGCAAACACAAGATGTACGTGGTTCACCCAGATTGGCTACGTCCACGGAATAGAGGAGTTCTCATTAATTGTGAAAGGTTTACACAAGTACATAGGTTCAAGCTCTCCTTTAGTGAGTACAAGTGAATGATTTAGTACAAATGACATTAGGAAATATTGTGGGAGAATGATCTCGTAATCACGAAACTTCTAAGTATCGGAGTGTGGTATCGTCTTGACTTGCCTTATCTGTCTCATAGGTACATGTGGCATCTTCTCTGGAATTACTCTTCCTCCATCCAGGGGTATCTTTAACTGGTGGAGATGCACAAGGTAATGTATCAATTTCACTTGAAGCTTACTTGTAGTTTCAGGCTTGGTCAAGCGCGATACAAACCAAGTAGTAGGAGTCCCCCAAGTTGCCGAGCTAGGGGATCTGCTGAAAGAGGTGACAGACAAGGTAAGCAATCAGAGCTCCGGCTGATTGTTCACATTCTCCCTATCTTGCAGGCAGCATGAAGGATAAAGAGAAGAAAATGAGAAGATATGATATGTGATACTTTTGCTTTTGAAGAAGTAACTTTCCACAGGCTTATTCTTGAACTGTGCTGGAGGGTTTTCTGGTTTCCTCCAGAGTATAAGGTCGACTGAAGAATTTGAGGGTCAAAACAAGTCCATCAAATCTAGAGTACTTTCGACCCTGCTGATATGGGATACTTTTGCTTTGACAGAGTAATGGATGTATCGGTACGTGTGCTGTTACGCTTGTCTCTACATGCTTCCTTGGATCCTTCTCCATTGCCCTATCTATTCCTCAGGCAGATGCGGTATCTTCCCTGAAAGCATAAGATGTTGAAGATGAGTACTCGAGAGCAATGTCAGGTAAGTAATCAGGTAAGGGGTTCCAAGCAGTCAGTTCCTAGCTGGAAGCTTGATTCCAAGTGCTGACTGATTGCTCTCTTTCTCCTTGTCTTGCAGGTAAGAACAAGGCCAAAAGGAAAAGACAGGAAAAAAGCATGATATGGGATACTCTTGCTTTTAACCCTGATGATATGAGATATTCTTGCTCTAGTATAGCTTGTTTGCAGAGGTATTATCGGGGGGAAAGAAAGCTGAATATTTCGAAAGGCTTCGTTGGGAGTGCCCTCTCAGATATGAGGAAAGGTTGAGCATTTTTGC